GGGGAGGTTAATGTATCCGGTGTGTAATCATCATACAGACAGATTTTGAGAGAAAAAAAAATGAAAAAAAGAAAAAGAATTGTTAATTATGAACAGAACAGAAAATTCATTAATAACTGCTACTGTATTTTTATTGTTAATTATGGTCTTTTGATTTTTTTATTGGTTGGTTCCAAATATACAATCAACAAAAAAAAAACATTGATGATTATCATTGGCTATTATCAATAGTTGTATTTTTCAATCGATGGTCATACCAGTCACCATCATGTATAATCATTATTATCATTTGAAAACATTTTACGAATGTTTGGGGAGGGTTATATCATATCCAGAAATAAATTTCAATCATATTTGTTGTTGTTATTGAAGCAATTTTTTCGATTTGATTTATCAAAACATTTAATGATATGGTGATTATATCCATTGCCTATATATTTCATCATTAATCGATGTTTTTGATCTCAATTTATATTCAATTAGATGATGATGATGATGATGATGACCATGATCAAATCGAATGACCATACAGATGAGAGAGACCTCACCGAATCTCAATGCAAAAAAATGACTAATTTCAGTGAAACATTTTTTTTTTTGTTTTGCTCAGATAAAAACGACAAAGTTTTACAATAATCGAAGAGGTGGAGAACACAACATAGAGATCTGAGAAATGATCCTGATCATCATCATCATAATCATCTCTACATGATTATCATCATATGTTGTGTGTGTGTGTGTGTTCAGCAAATCAGCCAACCAAACGAATGTGGAAACAAATGTAAAATGATTATGCTACTAACTGACTCTAACTAACTAACTAACTAATCTACCTAACTAATTACGTTTTTTGTTTTCTTCATTTGGCTATAGCTAATGATCATTTGATAAATGTCCAGAATTTATTTCTGCAAAGAGGAGACTTACGTTAATGAGAAAATGTTTTTGTTTTTTGAAAATGAAATAAAAAGAGTATGCGCACATTGAATACAATTGTCATCATCATTGTTATAATGATGATCCAATGGATGAAACCGAACAACAAACAAACAGAAAAAAAGTCATTTTTTGAAATGAACATTCAGTATGTTGGCTATCATCATCATAGTCGTTTTTTTGAAAAGCAAAAAGAAAAGGACTGCCTATTTTGAAAGTTGCACACACACAAAGAAACAAATGTGGATGTTCACGGTATTAAAACAAACATTGAACATTCACTGAACACAAACACAGATTGAACTCCTATAAAAACACTTTTATAACGAATAAAAATTCATTCATTTTAGTTGATTTTTTTATTGTTTTTGAAATTATTATTATTATTATTATTATAGATTTTATGAAGATAATAATCACCATTGATGATCATTTTTCAATCGTGGAGAAAATATTAAAACAAATGAAAATCATTATAATGAATGAATTGGTCATTAATCCAAATACACACATCATTTATTGTGTTTTTTCCCTTTACTTGATGATTATGATGATAATCTTGACTATGATTATTTTGCCAAAACTAGACTAGATAGAAAGAAATAAACAAGGAAACAAGATCAACATCAATAAGAAAAACAAAAATGTGAATTTGAATTAACAATTCAAATTTGGCTTGAAACAAGCAAACAAACAAACGAAAACTAAACCTTTTTTTTTACTGATGATTTAATGTTACACATGATAACGGCCAGCATTAAAAAAAAGTTAGTTATATAAAAATGAATGACACAATCCTTGTAATTTCAAGTAAACTAATTGAATATAGTGAAACAATTATACACATGATGATTATAGATGATGTTTGTAAAACGAAACACAGCATACACATCATATTAACAATGAATGATAAATATAATATCTGTATCAAATGATCCTAAATTAAATGGTTTTTCTGTTGTTTTGTTTTTTTCATTCATTCATATAATTAACTTGAAATGGACAAAACATTTTTTTTGCTTGTTTGTTCCATTTGTGCCAGAGATATGCGGTTCCATTTTTCCATTTCCAAATGATAATAATGATTATTGCCACCGATGATGATGATAATAGTAGTTTTTTGTTTTTCTATGTGAAAAAATGTAGAAAAACATTTTGCTATTCGCATAACCTTTTGATTACCTGAACATCATAATCATTATGATGATGATTGAATTAAAACAATGTGCCATCACTTGGTAGATGATGATCATGATAAAGTTTTTTTTCCATTTTTTGAATTGATGCGTCTAGCTTTGTTTTTTCTGCTAAATTCAAGAGAAAAGCATCTTCATTTTTGGAAGAAAAAAAAATTCAATTGTCAATCGTGCCATCAAGGTAGATAAATTATACCAATTTCCTCGCCTGTGTTTTTCTTCATTTTTCTTTTTGCTGTTTTTGTTGTTTTTCCAACATGTAAAAACAACAAAAAAATTCAGCAATTGTTTTTTCTACCACACTTTTACACACACACCAAACAGACAGAGACTGAAAAAAGTTGTTGAGAAACAGATGGCTAATTATTATTATTTCTTTTTCTTCTCATCTTCGACTATCATCATCATCATTACGATCAAACAGCAGCGAAAAATATCTTATTCTTTTTTTCATTAAGTTTCTGGTTGTTTGTGGTGGTGATACCAGCTGATATGATTATTATCATCTTTCTTCTGGCCCCGAAAATAATTATTGAATCAAATAAATAAATATATTCTTTGATTTCTGTTTCATAGTAGATGATGTTTGAGCCAAAACACCGCCATCGTATGATGAGGATGTTTGTAATTTAATTCCTGAATAATGATGATGATTTTTAATGAGATGAATTTACACCACACAAACACTAACAACCACTTACCAAACTAATCAATATGCAACATTTACAAACAAAAATTCAACTTAAACACACACACCATCATCAACAAAAACAATAAAAGGTCATATACGAGCAAATTGTAACAAAACGACAAAGAATTTAACCTTCCTGGGTAGATAAACGGTGCAAAACAAAAAATAAAATTGATGATGACCATCCTTCGGTTAGTTCGGCTGGATTATGTTTTAAAGATTCACGCGGTGTTTTTGTTTTCCATAAGTAATAATGAACTATTCTCAAATGTGCGAAAAACAAAACACACACATTTTGGTTATTAGAGGCCAATCATCATTTTGTTTGTTTGAAACATTTTTTTTCCAACATGGAAAGTCATCATTTTACACAGAAAGAAATCTGCCGCCAAACAATTATATGGATGTTCTTCTTCTATTACCTGCTCGAACAACAATAACATTGGACAGAGTGTAAGTGAGGGTTATTTGTATATGTGTTTTTAAAGCAATTATTGATTGCCAACACCGAACATCATTCATAATCGTTTTTTTTGAACGTGTTGCCTTGAGCTTTTTTTGTTGTTGTTTTTTGCTGGCAATCATTATGATGATGATACATATCGAATGAGAGTCAAAGACAAAACAGAAGAAGGCAGAAGCTTCATCGTCGGCTTTTTTTGTTGTTGTTGTTGTTTTAACTAATTTTGTTACCTGTTCTTGAATTGTATTCCGCTATTCTGTTGTTTTGGTTGTTATTATTGATTGTGTGGTAGTTTTTTTCCATGAAAAATTATTTTTTATTTTTTGAAAACCAGACCAAAACAGAAAAAAGTAGCGTTTATTGAACACAATTATCGCACCTTTTTTTCAATTGTTGTTGTTCAGTTTTTTTCTTGGTCCGTGAACTTTGATCCGTAAATAAATAAATATGGTCTGGTTTTTTTACACGTTTTGTTGTTGTTATTTTTCTTATGAAAATCAATCAATTTTAACCCTTGATTTGCATCAATAAAAAAAATACATTTATATCACTTTAATCAGCGAAAAAAAAAGATTAATGTTCATTCAAAATGATTCATTAGGTTATTGTGATGTTTGACTTTATTTCGTTTGATTCTATCTCCTTTTTAAAATATATCTCCTTTACTTGATTGATTGATTGATTTATCGAAGAAAACGACGAAAAAAACGGCACCGCCAATCGATTGTTGTTCAACAAAATTTTATCAAATAAAAAAAAGGAATTGAGATTTACGGGTGTGTGTGTATGTCGAACATACAAAATCTAAACCCGAAAATAGCCAATATTTATCGGACATTATCCTGTTTGATTTGATTTATGCCACCAAACATAATGACCAAACCAACTGACTACTAATATTATTGATTGTAATCACCAAATTCAATTCTTTGGCCAAAAATAGAATATTCAAATGAGATAACACCAACAATGGGAAAAAATCAATAAAAATAATTCGAAAAAAATCGATCCAAAAGGAATTATGTGAAATGAATATTGAGAGAGAATACGTTTTTACTTTCCTCAGCAGTAATAATTGGAAAACTGACAAAACTAATTTCTATATATAAATATCGTTATGTTTGGTGCAAGAATTTTCCAATTCAATTCAATTCATGTCATGTCATGGGTTTATATTTAATCAAATTGCAAATACAGAAGTCGTTTATTTTTCGGTTTGTTCGAAACTGAATTTTCAATTATCACCAAGGTAACCCGAAACAACAACAAAAAAAAAATTCAAGCGAGAATCGACAACAGAAACAAAAAAAACAAAAACAAAAAACAATCACAATCACTCACACATAGACTGATAATCGAAAATGTCAATCTCTCTAGGTGTGTGTGTGTGTTTTGTTTTGAATAAAAATAAATAAATCGATCAAATTGATGATTGAGCCGAAAATAATGAATAAAAAAAGACAATCAAATTTGTCACCAAATGTGGTAATAAATAAGTAGCTTTATTTACAAAAACAGAAGAAAAAGAAAAACAAATCGATCTGACAAACACAAATATTGTGATGAAGAAATTGAAATTGTCATTATTTGTTGTCAGAATGTTCAATCAATCAATTTGTTATTGAATCAAAATACAAATAGAAAATTGAAATTGAGATAATGATGATGATGATGATATACAAAATGATGATGATTCTATTGGATTGATTCAAATTAGTCTATATTTGTTTCAATTAGATAGGTGTATTGGTATGTGCGAAAAATGAGATTTCAATTGAAATAAAGGAAAAAATATCAAAGTGAAGTGAAATGATATCGGATTGAGATAATTACAAAATTTGTTGTTTGATTAATTAAATGTTCAAGTCTGTTTATTTTCATTTATCTAATATTCAAAAGCGACTAAATTGTTGATTGATTATTTGAATGCAATAGCATCGTCCAATATGTTCAATAATGATGATGATCTTGTTGATGTTTGACTACTAACAGAATCGACACGTATCGGCGGTGATGGTGTTGAATTTGGTGGTGGCGTTAATGTGGCCGAACCAGCTGCCCGTAATAATGCAGCAGCATGATCAGCTTGAGCAGCAGCAGCGGCAGCCGCTACTGCAAATGTTTGAAAATGAGGAATATTTTGGAAGAAATTTTGTCGTACAAACGACAAATTGGCTAGAGTTGTTTGAAATGAATCACTTATGTTGTTGTTGTTTGTCATTGCAGCATTATTATTATCATTATTATTGCCGTTGTTATTCAGCAAAGAAGCGTTAAATAATTGAGGAAATTCCATTGATAATGGAATATTGGATTGATTGAGACCAGCACCATTGCAGCCAGCCGCATTCAATTGTGATAATGATGCGGCTGCAACAGCGGCCATAGCATAAGGTGATGTTGTCCATGATAATGGATTTAATGCTGCTATTGCGGCAGCAGCACTCGTAACCGATGATGATGTATTGGTGGGTGAATTTTGTCCATTAGTTACCGCTGATGCTGCTGATGATGAAGAAATTGAACGCAATGATGCATTACCCGTTTCGGTTCGAAATGATTGTTGTTGTTGCGATTGTGGATGATGATTATGATGCGAATGATGATGTTGATGATGACCAGATGATAGAAATAATGAATGATTTGAGACTGATGCTGAAAGTGCTGCCTGAATAGCGGCAGCAGTTGCAGATACATCTGCAGTACGATTAACAATTAAATCGGATAATTGATTCGGTTTGATCGTTGTGGCCGAATCTTTTTCCGGTCCAATTAGATGTTCGATCGAGAAAGATTGTTTTGCAAATGATGATGATTTCACCATTTTCGTTTGTCCGTTTATGTTTGTCGCCGTAGTCGTTGAAGTTGTTTTGACTTTATCATTTTTTGATTGAGATTTTTGATTGGATGATTTCATAATGGGATGATGACGTTGATGATGATGATCAATATCATGATCAATCAAATGATGACCAAATGGATTCATCTTTTCATCCATACTGTCTGAATCATAATTTTTTAGATCATTTTCATGATGATGATCAATTCTTGTTCCATTGGCAGTTATCATTCTACGTCCATTCAATTTGAAGCGTTTACGACGCCGTAAAAAACTACCATTTTCAAACATATCACCCGAATTTGGATGCAATGCCCAATAACTACCTTTTCCAGGTTTATCTGGACGGCGAGGAATTTTGATAAAACAATCATTGAAAGACAAATTATGACGTAATGAATTTTGCCATCGTTGAGTATTTTTACGATAATATGGAAAACGATCCATAATAAATTTATAGATATCGTTCAATGTTAACATTTTTTCTTCCGAATTTTGTATTGCCATAAATGTTAACGATATGTATGAATATGGCGGTTTTTGATCACCATATGTGCTACGTCCTGGCCTAGGCATTGTTTTTTTTACTTTTCGTTGTTTTTTTTTGTTATGAGATAAAAACAACTATGATGAATTTCAAAATATTCAAAACAAACAAACACACAGAATTGACAAAAATGGAATTTCAAATTTTAAATTCAAATACTAAACAATATTATTCATCACATCACATCATGTTTTCACATACAACACACACACACACACATAAACACAGAAATGGTGATGAAAATTGAACGATTGTTGTACACGGTCATCATTGTTGATCATCAATAACTTATCATTCATTCATTTATTCATACACCATGATGACACCTTGATCATTTCTATATGAATGAAAATGGAAATTCTCACTACGAATAAATTTGATGAACATCATTCATTCATTTAATCAACAAACAGGAAAAATACAAACAAACAAACGGGCAGTAATCATCATTTTTAAATGGCAATGATAATCATCATCATGATCATATCGGATAGCAATTTTTTTCTCTCTGTCGCTGTTCGTATCGTGTATTTGTTGTTTTTTGTTGAAAGTTTTAGTTTGTTTAACACACACTGTCCATCATTCTGTATGTTTTTTTCCTTTAACGTTTAAAACGTTTGAAACATGAAAATTGAGGCGTTATCCAAACCAAAAAAAAATACGGCTTTTGCTTTTTTTTGTTTGTTTGTTTGCTGTTCACCACTTCTTTCTCTTTTCATTGATTCATTCACATTTTGAAGCTAATTTTAGTTTGTTTTCGTTTTTCTCATCCAAATAAAATCAATGGCAAAACAAAATGAGAAAAACATTTCATCAATTGAACTAAGAGAGATGGTGCATATATTTAATAGGCGGAGATAATAACCATTACCATGGATATAGTAGAATATAAAGAATGATAATAGTAGTAGTAGTAGCAATAATCATTGAAATATTCGATGCCAATTGGCTGCCGCTAAACAATTGGAATTGATGTATTTGTTTGGTTGAAGCCATTGGAATCGCATTACACTAACCACACACAAATAAGGTGGACCACCCTCGCTATATGTGTGCATGTATGCATGTTTGATCAAACTTTGTTTTTGTTTGTTTGTATATTTTTGTTTTTATTTTGTTTGTTTGTTTGTTTGTGACACTATTTGAAAGAAGATAAACTGTTTTTTAGTTAGTTTAGTTAGTTAGTTAGTTAGTAGCTAGATATCTATAGATAACCGAGAAGCCAAACATTACCCGGTGTCCATTTATCATTCAATTTTTGTAATTCAAAGAATATTTTTCATATAAAACAACAAGATCCAAACAAATGACATGAAATATCACCATGGTTCCATTCATTCCATAGAGAACAAGTTAGAGTTTAGTTAGTTAATGTTTGATAGAAAAATAAAGGAAGTTTATATTTCAGAATGCTATAGTTTTTTTTTTCATTTATTAGACAACCAACTTGATTTGAAATGTTTTGAGCGAGCTTTTTTTTGTTCGTTTGGTCATTCATCCGCGAAACACAACTAAAAAAAACTTGGTTATATCCACATTCACTGTGTATAATAATAATGTGGTGGTGAACAAAATCGATTTGCAAGGCATCCATTCCATCCTTCCTTTCCTTTCATTCAATTTAATTTGTTCTTGTTAATGTTTGTTTGAAAGGCACAACAAAATACCATTATTCAGTTTGTTTGTTAGTCCAAATATTTATCCTATCCATCATCAACAACATTAACATTAACATTAACTTCTCCCAAATATCAAATGGCCATTCCATTCATTCATTCATTTTCAATGCAGTCATCATCATCATTATCATTAATATGATTCCATCATCTTCCAACAACAAGATTTTTATTCATATTTTTCAATGTGTTGGCTTGATGGCTGCTAATCTTGATTTAGTTTTTGATTATGGAGAAAATATCCCATTTATTTTTTTGTTTGTCTTCGATTCAGAGACAAACAAAATTATATTTTTGTTGGAATTTAATTCGACAATAAAACAGAGTACAGAACACTATAAAACCATTGATCCGATTGTCAAACCTATGTTTATTTATTTATTAATAGAAAATCAATCAGGCGCGATATATGATTTATTTTTTTTCAATATTTTTGTTGAATATAAAAGAATTCATCCACCATTTTTCAATAGAAATCATATCTAATCAAACTGGGAAAATTGTCACAAAAATTCTTTCAATCTAAACAAAAATTGATACAATTTTTTTTCATTGCACACGTTGCAAAGTTATCATCTTTGGTTATATCGTTGGAATCATCGAATCGAAACACATATTTCACATACAAAACAAATTTGTTTTCAAAGAAGAAGATAAAAAAGAAAGAAAGAATTGCTTCACCGCGTGCGAATTTATATATAGGGAACTATATTTTTTTTGGTTGGAGTTTGTTTTGTCATGGTTCACTTGGTCACCGATCATCAATTTGTCATTTTTGTCTCCAAAAAAACACACAAAAATCCTATATAGATTGCCAACAACAAGAAAAAAATCGAATTAAATTGTATTCCAGAAAAGAAAAATGAATCATAAATCGAATCGAGAACAATTTTTTTGATTATGTAAAAAAATGGACACGCGTGCGCCCAATTCAATCCAATCCATCATAATACAAGTCGATCACACATATATTGCGTGTGTGTATATCTTGACCATTGTGTCATACATTGACTTGTGACTGGTGTGATATTCAATTCGATTAATTCGATTGAATACTGTGAATATGCAAATGAAATTTTATGGAATTAAATAGGCTCGATGCACGCGCCCGCTTTTAAGACCTATATAAATTGAATTAATAAAGGATTTGGTTACATTTGAAATTTTTGGCCATAACCATTTTATTGCGTGTTTTTTTTGTTGTTATTCTGGATTCAGTTATTTTCTCAGTGTTGTAATTAAAATAATACAATGTTCATTTGGCATCGATTTCGATATTGTTTCTTAATTATATGCTAATCATTTTTTGGAAACTGAAAAAAAATTCAATGACAATTTTTCTTTCAATAAAATAATGAAAAAGTCCAATCACGTAATACAGGTCCATGGTCGTGTTATTCCTCACGGTTCATAGGTTATCCTCATATAATATAATCTTTGTAGAAAAAAACAGTTTTATTTTGTTTTTCCATCATTTGTCGTTGACCAATTAACCCGAACAACAACAACAAATTCCATTCGAAAATTTTTCATTAATGAATTACAGAGGTGGTGGTCGACACACCATAGAGACAGATTAATCAAACAAGCAAGCCAAAGACAGACAAACTCCTCATCAATTAAATGCCTTCTGGCATTTATCATCATAATCATCATGGATGATGGTGATGATGATAATAATGATGACCACAATCATTGTCGAGGATGGATGAATGGATGTTATGCTGTGTGCGGTTTTTTCTTCTGGTCCTAAATTTGTTTTTGTTTTTGTTTGGCAAAATGAAAACTAAGAAAAAACATTCAATTAATTTGTAAATTGAAATCAATTCGAATCAGATCATCATCTATGATGATGATAATGATAATGATAATGATTATAGCCAATCCAATTCAATATTGATTAGTTGTTGTTGATTATTATCTTCTATTTTTGGTTTTGATGATAATTTTCTCCCATTTCGGCCATCATCAAGTTGATGAATAATTGGATCTTTGCATTGAAAATTCATTCGGCTTTTTTTTCACCGAAATGATACACTAAGATTTAATGATTTATGATTCAGTCCAAAAAACAAGTTCAAAAATTAATTTCCATGAAAAGATATCAACCAATGATAAGGAATTTGTTGTTGTTTTTTTCAAGTTGAATCATTTGAAATTCTTAATAAAAAAAAAATCTTATTCCGACCATTTCGACTGAATTGACTTATTTTGGTAATTTTTTGGTTTCTAAAATTTTTGTTTGTTTGACACATCAAATCGGATTTTGTGTATTGATGATGATTTTGTCATTCAAAATGTTTTCCTTTTTTTTCACATTTTTGGTCGGCATTCAATCTTTCTGTTTCATATTTTCCTGATGATAGCTACCCATTTTTATTTCGGTTTGAATGTTTCAAAACTAAAAAATTCAAACATCAACAGCAAACACAAATTAGCCACTCTCTCTCACACACATCTTATACCTCTATCATCATCAGACTACAACACGATCTTTAAATCATATTCAAATGTTGTTGTCGTCGCCGTTGTTTGATTTGATGATGATGATGAGAAATGTTCTGTGTTTTGTTTAGATAATTAAAGACTACTAAAAGACCGAAATGACGACGACAAAGACGGTAATCATCATTTGCTGTGTATACAGGTAATACAATCAAATTTTGTTCTACATTGATGACGTTCTAATGATGATACCATCTTTATCTTGGTCTATTATTATGTTCATCATCATCATCATTTCTTTGAATAGATAGCTAAAGTAAGATTTTGTTCAGTGGTGATTATCATTGACACCGAATATCTGTTTTCAAAGTTAATTCTTCAACAACAAAACATGTTTTGTTTGTTGAGAGGTGCCAATTCTGTAACATTTTTTTTGTTTGACATTGATCACCATAATCATCATTATCATCATCATCAAACAACTTTTGGTGATTATCATTGCAAATAGAATTTGTAATGTCATCGTTGTTTGTTCATTTGTATTTGGTGCAAACCAAAAAAAACGTATTTGATATAAGGTGTTTAGGCGATCCATGCTACCTGTGTTGTTTTTTCAACAAAATTCATCCAATAACAGACTAACTAACTAATTATAGCCAAAAAAACAGCAACAACATTCATGTAAATTTTTTTTATATTTTCAATTTCATAAATAAACGAAGATGATGATGATGATGATGAAAGTCACGTAACAAACAAATATTGCCAAACGATAGATCATGGTCTTCATTTCATTTCACTCACTTTTTTTTGGCTCGATGACATTTCGTTTTCCTGTTTCAAATTTTTTCTCTATTCTGGCTACTTAACAAGCAGCCAGAATGGAAAAAAATGACAAGTCGGAAAATGATCATCACGATCATCATCATCTAATGAATGAATAATGTTTTCTCATTTAAAAGAAAACAAATGTTATTTTTGTTGGTCCGAAGATGATGGAAATTAACTATTGAAGAAATGAACAAAAAAGGTGCTAAAAGTAAATTAGTTTTTTCTTTTTTCCACTATGTTTGTTGGCAATATTGGCAATTGAATTATTCATTTGATTTGAAATGAAACAAAATGTTATTTGTTTGGTTGGTCATACACGTTTTTTTTCAATTTCTTTCTCTCGATGTGTGTTCGTCATTAGGCCCTAGTAATATAATCGATAAATTAACTTTTGGAAAGAAAACTTGGATTGAAAATAATATGGTTTGATTGAATGTCTAACCTAGCCTAGCCTAGGATTTTTGTTGCTGTTAAATTTCTCATCTTTTTTAGGGCCATAAAATGATAAACCAAACAAACAAACAAAAATTCATTCCAATAAATTACCTGATTAAAGTATCTCTTGACACATTTTCGCAATTTGTTTGTTTTTCTGTCATTTGTGTTTATCTTAAAAGTTTGTTTTTGTTGTTGTTTCTTATTTTATTTTTTGCCACAATCCTTATATGTTGTTTGTTTGTTTGTCCATGATGATGGTGTTAATGGTATAAAATTTGAAGAAATTTTTTGAAAAAAATACAGTTTTTTCAAATAAAACATTACCTTAGAAAAAATCAAGGCGTGGAACCTGACTGGTTGACTTTTTCATCATCATCATCATTCGAAATACAAACAAACAATGTTTTTTCTTGTTGCTGGAACCACCGCTGTTGTTTGCTTTGAAAATACATTGTTGTTTTCGCGATCATCTTTTTTTTTGTTCATATCATTGCAATATATGAATATAAATCAGAAACATTCTTATTTTCTCATCATTACAATCAACTGAAATTAGGAAAAAAATAAATATTTTTCAAATTTCAGGTGTTCATTTCGCTCGCTCAGGTGTTTCGCGATTAACAAACAACAAACTAGCCGCCCAAGGAGATGATGATGATGATGATGGTGGTGGTTGTATATCAATGGATCAAGAGAAACATTTTGTTTGTTTGTTATGTTTCTTTTTTAGCCCAGATTCAAAACTTCAAACGAAATTTGTTTTTTTTTGTTTCTTTTTAAACAAAACATTTTGAAATTTGTTTTTCTTTTTGTTGAAAAACACCTCCGATCACACACACAGTAGGGAAGGTGTTGTGTTGTTCATATTTCTGGGTCTCTTTTGATCTTTTGTACAAATCACCGAATCTTTTTATTTAGTTAGTTTGTTATTTGGAAGAAATTTTTTTCCAAACATAACAAAAAATATTAATAACTAACCAAAAACAACAAACATCAATTTTGAATTCCTGATCAAAATGATGAGATTATCTTTATTAATATTATTGTTATTTTTTTGTTAATCCTGTTATCATCATTATGATGATGACCAGATTTTTCGGCCTGAATGTTGTTCTCGACTACAGAAAAACATTATCAACTTGATGGTAATCAAAGATCTTTTTGATTTTTTGATCTTTTTTGATTCGAATGATGAACAATGGAAAAAAAATATAAAAAATCATTTTACAACAAGAATTTTCCATCTATTTTATTTTTCTGTTTGAAAGAGATGTTATGATTTCCGGAATTTTAAAGCCATTTTTTTATCGCTTGCACAGATTGTAATCATTATCATTTTGGAAATCAATGAAATGGAACTATCTCATATTCATCCATAAAGTATATATCTACAGACAGACTTATTAAAATGAGTGTTGTTTGAAAAAGTCATTTGTTATTCAGTAGAAAAAAAAAGAAAATCATACAGATTACAATTGAGAAAATGTATGTGTGTTTGTGTTTTTTCATATTTACCATTTTTTGTTAACAATAGATTCTTATTACCAAAATCATAAATCAGGATGATGATGATGATCATCATCCATCCAGCTAGACCCCTAAAAAATGTTTATATGTTGGTATCATTTCTTTTCTTTTCGGGATTTTGATCCATAACTAATAGGCGAAACGAGAGATATACATACAATACACAGAAAATGTGATCATTGATTTTATATTTTTTTATTCATTCGAGGTCCTTGTTGTTGTTTAAAATGATTCGATTTTTTTTGCATTTACGGTCTCTATTGTTATTGTTATTATTCATAGATCTTCCTCCTCATCAATGGAATTAAAGAAATTCTGTTCAAACATTGTGTTCACATGATTATGACGATGATGATAATAATCGATTGTTTAGAGTGGTTAGAAACAGCAAAAAACTCGTGGTCTTTTATCGAACTCGAGTGGCGGTTTTTTTTTATATTCAGCAAGCAACTTTTTGTTTCCTCTAACCCTCTCTCATTGAAAAATCATCTGTTTGATGCTATGTGTTTCTCGTGTTTAGACACGGTATCTTTATTCGGTGTGTGTGTTTGGTTTGGTTTGGTTTTATTTAATTCGATTTGGTTGTAGGATTTTCTCCGAAAATTATCCAGCAGTTTTTTTTGTTGTGAACCATTTTTCCATTGATTTGAACAAGTGTGACTTTAAAAAAAACAAACCGATTTCATGGTAAACTGCTGCTGCTGTTATTGTTTGTTGCCCCACATCATGACAATAAAGGATAAATAAATGCAAAAAGGCATTATTTTTGTTTTTTTTTGTTTAAAGTATAGTACAAACACACACACACGTATATTTCTATAGAAATCTCATTTGAATTTATCATTTTTTTAAAAGAAGGATGTTCATCAGAGAAAAACAATGTAAACGTCGATTGATTAATCGATTAGTGATTGATTTGATAAAAGTACATTATAATTTAATAAAAAAAAATATTGATTAAACACTTGAAACATACAACACTCAACAACAAAATACAAAAAGCCTTGATCTTGGCCTTGATTTTTTGGTTGGTAATTTAATTTGAAACAGAAGCGGTTCCTTTTTTTGAAATAAAGATAAGAGAAATCTTTATCAAAAAAAAATGATTGCCACCCATGTGATTTTTTAATGAAAAATGTAGCAATCGAACCAAATACAAAATGGGATATCCGGCTTAACCGGTAATATACACTTGACTTGATTTGCAATGATTCTGAACAATTTTTTTTTGTTGAAAAAAATGGAATATTTAATTATGATTATGATGATTTTAAAAAAACATGTAAAAAGAATAACCTAATAATGTTGTATAAATTTATCAAAAATTTTTTCTATCATTGCACATAGATATTTTCTATATATAAAAATGATGAAATTAAAAAAATAATAATAAATTCAACGACGAGTGGAACGATTGTTATTGAGCAATGGTGTCAATAAATTTGGTTCGTCATCATCATCAATAATATTTTCACCGGATATTGGTGTAAGATTTGGATCGATGATTGTTGCAGCAGCAATAGTTGTTGATGTTGGATGCTCTAAAATATCAGTGAAATTCAAGAATGCAATTAACAATACAATTAATGTTTGAAAGAAAAAGGAATGGGTTAAAAAATTATGATTGGAATGTGAGAAAGAAAATGTGCCATGCAAATTATTGTCGATCAAAATCGATGTGATTAGGTGGAAAACTCAATTCAGGTTAGTAAGTTATTTCGATTGGAAAACGATATGTTAAAATTGATTAAATAAAATTAGGGAACTAATTTGATTAGTCATTATTAATCTAATAAAACGGATGTTTCTTGGTTATTTGCCAATCCAGTTTCATTTACCATTCATTAATGATAGTTTTTTCTTTTTATCCATCAACATTAGAGCTAAGCTAGCAATAGCCAATGCTGTAGCACCACCACAAACAAATGTCAATATATCTCGATAATAATAATCACAGATTATACACGAAAAAGTTCTAATAATGAATAAAATGAATCAGTAATCAAATTGAAAAAAAATTACATACGCGCAAGGTTTAAAATGTTCAATAAGCCAAACAGCCAATCCATTTGATACTTTATCAACAAAACTCATGGCACCAAATACGAACGATCCGCTCGCCTATATTTCAATCGATTATTAAAATTGATGAAAAAATAATGGAAAAATTAATTTCAAAAAACATACCGTATTTTTGCCAATCAAATCATTAGTAATACCAAGACTGGTTATGAGCATTATCGAATTGGATGCACCGATTATAATTGAAACAATAAATATTCCCCATTGTTTGAAACCTTCATTGGTACCAAAATAGATCCATGTACAGGCACCCAATGATAATATGGCACCAATTAAAAATGTTATCTGTTGTAAATTGTAAACTTTAATCAATCGATTGGCCATTTTATTATTATTATTTACCTTTTTGCCCAATTTTTGATTAATATATTTCAGTAAAAATGAACTAACGAATCCACTTGTATAAGTAACTAAAGGAATGTATGCAACGCTTTTCTATTTTTTGGAAACAAAAAAAAATATTTGGAAAGTTAATTTTAAAGATTCTTGATGGAAAAATGACACCTACTTTTGGCAAACGTAATGTTTCTTGAAGATAATTTGGAATATAAACTTGCGTAAGATTGATTGTCAAACGGGTGCCCATATAAAGTAAGGCTACTTTATAGAAACGTATTTGTTGAAACCAACCATGCCATACGGTAACACGACATTCTACACTCTTTTCATTGGTCGATATTGTCGACACCTGTTGTTGTTGTTCTTGATCTCTAATTTCATCATCATTATCAGTATTTCGTTCACGTGTTCCAAGATGAAATATCAATGAAAATACTGAACCAATAGCAATGATAATGAAAGCAACGTTTCGGAACGTGGATGCATCATTTGGACTGATTTGTGAACCATCTTCTTCATCATTGGTTTTCAACAAAAGCCACATTAATATATAAACAGCAATGTTAGCGAATACAGTGAACGCATAACGATAAGAATTTAATTCGATACGTTCCGATGAACTTGGTGTTGAAGCGGGAATCAATGATAGATGTGAAATCTGTACAGAAGCCCAACCAAATTGAAATATTGTTATAAATGCAGCATAATAAATCATTTGTGAATTTTCGGGTGAATTGGCACATCCAATACATTGATTAAATAAAAATGGAAATGATAAAAATACACATAATGTACCAATAAGATGCCAACATTTCCTGCGGCCATATTTACAGAAAAACCAATCCAATCTTCGATCACATTCAATACCGACAAATGGTGTTGCAAGACCATCGGCAACTTGACCAACTAACATTAATGTTCCCGAAGTATTACTATTAAATTGATTGACAAAATGCATAAATATAAGAAGATATGTAAACCAGAATGCAGCACATAAATCATTGAATACATGGCCCATACTGATGGCCAATTTTTGAATCAATGACAAATGATGGCCACCTCTATCTTCTTCAGTCGTCGTTGATGTTGTTGTTGATGGATTATCGGCCATTTTATTTTCTTCGTTATCGGCCAGATTTGTGGATGATGAGTTATTCATTTCTTTTTTTCACAACCAATTCAAAATTTAATATGAAAGACGAATAAATTGGTGTTCGATGTTTGAATGATGATTGATATTGATGACGATGAGTGATGATTGATTGATATACGTCTTGATCGAACCAAATTAATAATGAAAAGAAATTTTTAAAAAAATTAAGAATCCTTTCAAGTAAAACGGATGCTCACACGGTGAGATAATTGACTGTTGAGCAATATTGGATAAAAAAAATTAATAAATTAAAAGGAGATATTTGAAGTGTGGGTTTTATCAAATTTATGGCTGTCGTTTTTTTGTTGTTTCAATGGACCGTTGAACTTGTGTTTATGATAGTTGTTAGTGTTGTTGTGTCATCAATTGGGAATCCGTATTATTAGAGGAGTTTCATTCAATTCGAGTATCAATGATTATGATTGATTGTTGAAAATATACACTATGATAATCGATGATATGATGATAATGATGGCTGATATATTGCAGATCACATGAGTAATTTATTATTTTAAATACGGCGCCGATTTTTTAATAATTTTCTTATAATTATTGTCGAAAGGCTTTTTATATATAGGCTGTAAAAAAAATCAATTAAATTTATTTTCTAAATTTAATTTCGAAAATTTTTCCAATAAATTTTTTATGGAGGGAAATTGAAATACCAAAAAATATTGAACGGATGATTAGGTTATAATCAATGACAACTTTATTGTCTTTGATCCGTGGTTAATTCCTGTAACCGAACATTTATTACCCGTACTGTATATTGTTGATTGGGTAGTGTAATAAGAAAAACAAAAACATTAAAGACGGATGATGATTCAATCGAATGATTCTATTATGATTATGATGATAATTATAGAGGAATTTGGCCATTTTAATTATTAAAAAAAAATTAAAAAATTAAAAAATTAATGATAATGAAGAACATTATTTGACCAATGATTCGTAATATAAAGGAAGATATATAATTATCACAGGCAATCAATGAAGATAATTTTTTAGAATCAAGGTTAGCTATCTGTTTTTCTTTCGATCCATCATTTTCATCGATATGATCAACATTATCGAGAAAAACAAAACAAAACAAAAAAAAACGTAAACATAAACAAAACATTTGATTTTTGGCTATCGATTTTCGAGTATCGATATGATTGTCCATCGCCCGTGTCTTCACACACATATGTTCGTGGATGGACATAAGCAAAGACAAGCGCAAACTCTAACGATGATATTTGATGTAAATAAAAATATTCATTTTATTTCACAACAATCGGATTTTCTCCAAATATTTTTTATTTCTTAGATTAGTTTTGTTTTCATTTGATCCACAATAATACAATGGATGATGAAGAAAAAATTTCCCTATGTGAACGAATTCTATTAGATTTGGATAATATATTTAAACGTGATCCAAATATGTATGATTTCGATGACAAAAAAATTTAAAGATTTAAATCCCTATTTTTCTCTAAAATTTGCAGAATCGAATTCGATGTAATTGAAGTGGCCGAATCTACGTGCAATAAAAGTCCAGTAATTTATAGTGATCATCATTTAGCATTAGAAAAATGGTGTGTTCCGCATCTTTATGAATATGCTTATGATAAGATGCTGAATTTTAAAAAACAATCTACATATAATCGTACAGGTAAATAATTCAATCCAATTAATGAATAAATCAAATAATTAAAATCATCTTCAGAGTCTTCTTTATTACATCAATGGACAAGAATCTTATTATTGCTCAATCCGGATTTTACGACAGCCTGGAATCTAAGGTTCGTTAATTTTATTTTTAAACAATGATGTTTTCCTTGGTTAATCAATCGAAATTCATTCAGGCGAGATTTACTCAACAAATCATCATCGAATTCACATTTAGAAGAACTTGATTTTACTAAATTAATGTTGATACGAAAACCTAAATGTGCAAGTGTTTTTACTTATCGTGAATGGTTATTAAATAGTTTTCTTCGACTTGATAATGGCCAATTGAATGATGATCTAATATCGAATGAATTACAAATTACACTTAATGCTGCCGATCAATATTCACGAAATTATTATGCATGGAGTCATCGTACATGGCTTCTAACTGTTTACATTGTCCATAATAATGATCATCATCATCTAACCAATGTTATCAATGTATGTTACGATTTTTGTTTCATTATCACCATATTTGTAATCTTAATTCTATTCGAATATAGAGAATAATCAATGATCTAATGATAACAGCCGAATGGTTAGAGCAACACATTTCCGATTATAGTGGCTTCCAACATAGACAATTTTTGTTCAATTTTGTACATGAATTGTGTCGAACAAATCAAAAAACTTTTAATACAACTGCCAATTCATTAAATTCATTTACTAATGATGATGATTCATTTTCATCATCATTGGATAAATGTTGTCAGATATTTTTCAAAGAATTCCAATGGTTATCAACATTATGGCCATTATATCCGGCACAAGAATCACTATTTTTACATCGTCGTCATATTTTACATGCAGCCAGTTTATGGTATCCAAATCAAATTGAACATTTGAAACAAGAAGAATTAAATTTTCATGAAAGAATTTTATCCAATTATACAGTAATGATGACAAAATCGGAACAAAATTGGCAAAAAGAATTAATTCGACGTTATCGATTTTATTTGAAATGTAATCTTAATTGGACTTTTGATTAAAAATAGCTTTTTTCAAGGAAAAACATCCATACCTGTACAATTTTTTTTCATTTTATTCAAAGCAATAATCATCATTATTATTTTCAAATAAATTTGTTATTTACATCAGGAAAATTTTTCTTTTTCTTTTTTTTGAAAAAACAATGTTTTGTATACGCGTATAAATAGCGCATAAGACCGGTTTCTTTTCATTTTTGCGTTTGCAATTCAATTTCAATTTCTTTGGGAAAAACGAAGAAAAAGAGAAAAAAACAAACCTTTTTTTTTGATTTGATGTTTTTTCATTAGCTATTTTTTGTTGTCATTTTCTTTGCTGATCAAAAATTATTTTCAAAAGTTTTGTTTTGTTTTGATTTAGCGTGTGGCAGATTATTGCATTTCAGAGAAAATTTTCCCTATTGTTCGCCATAATGATGAATGACAATCGGCGAATATTGTTGGATTTTCATGGAAAAGTTGCCGTTATAACTGGAGCTGCAAGGGGTTTAGGTCGTGAATATGCTTTACTTTTGGCATCTCGAGGAGCATCTATCATTGGTAATTCTGTCATTTTACGGCAATTTTTTATTAAATTGATTTATTTCAGTAAATGATCTTGGTGGTGATCGTGATGGAACGGGTAAGAGTTCAGCTGCCGATTTAGTTGTCAATGAAATTCGACAACGCGGTGGTCAAGCTGTGGCTGATTACAGTAAGTTTCAAAGAAAATCTAATGTTTTCAATCAATCAATTTGATTCTGTTTTTATCAGATTCAGTGGAAGAAGGTGAAAAAATTGTTCAAACTGCAATCGATAATTTTGGTCGAATCGGTAAATAGAAAAAAATTGAATTGTCAATTCAGATTTTATTCTTCTTCGTTTTTTTCAAAAAGATATTCTAATCAATAATGCAGGCATTTTAAGAGATAAATCAATGATGAAAATGACACCAGAAGATTTTGGTTAGTGATTGTGTGTTATAAATTCACTCTCTGATTAAAAATGTTGACAAATCAAATTCTTTGAAATAATAGATCTGGTGCATCGTGTTCATCTTCGAGGTTCGTTTCTGACTACCAAGGCAGCATGGCCATATTTTCGTCAACAAAATTATGGACGGTATGTTGGAGAAATCAATTCATCTCACAATTTGATAATTTTTTTCATAGAATTATCATGACAGCATCACCTTCAGGAATTTATGGCAATTTTGGCCAGGCAAATTATAGTTCTGGTATGATTGGATAATTTCACAATGATTTTACATTAAACCAATTTCATTTCTAATCTAGCTAAACTTGGCCTATTAGCATTGGCAAAAACATTGGCCATTGAAGGTAGCAAATATGATATTAAATGTAATACTATTGTACCTGTTGCTGCTTCACGATTAACCGAAGATTTATTACCCGAAGGTTGATTATTTTTCTACCTTGAAATAATATCGATAATGTTTTTTATTTATCTTTCAGATATTTTCAATCTTTTACAACCAAGTTGTGTAGCACCTATGGTCGGTTATCTATGTCATGAATCATGTCCAACAAATGGTGATGTAATCGAAGCAGCCGGTGGTTATTTTGGGCGTTATCAATGGCAACGTTCCAGGGGAAAAGTTTTTACCGATACTAATCAGATTACAATCGAAGATATTCAAAATAATTGGCAGCAAATAACCGGCATGTCAGAAGGTTATTCAAATCCAACTTCGATGGAAGGTTAGAATCATTTTCATAAAGGATATTTCAAATTCTCATTTTTTCCTCTTCACAGATCATACTGTTTTGTTGATGACTCAGCTACGTTCGGGTGAAGATATAAACGAATCGATTACGAACCAATCTCAACCAGATCGTGTTTATATCGATCTTACGGTTGAAGATGCTATTCTATATGCACTTTCAGGTAACCTTGTGGGGTTTTTTCAGCATTTTAAAGTTTTTTTTTGTCATTCTCTGTCTTAAATTTAAAGTTGGTGTTTCAACTGATGAACCAAATCATCTACGTTATTTATATGAGAATGATGAAAATTTTTCAGTATTACCATCATTAGCAACAACAATATCATTGAATGCAGTTTATCAAAGTAATATACTCGATCAAGCAATCAGACAATATGGATTGGAAGATAATCTAATGCGAACATTACATGGTGAACAATATCTTCGAATTTATCGACAAATTCCTTGTCCATCTAGGTTAGCATGTGAAACAAAAATATTGGATGTTCTTGATAAAGGATCGGCTGGTGCATTGATCATAATCGAAGGTTCGTTATTGATCAATATCTAAATCTAACCTTATTATCAAATAATTTTGAAACAAACAGTGACAACTTATGATGATGGCAATTCACCTTTATTCTATAATCAATTATCATTTTTTATGATTGGTAGTGGTAATTTTGGTGGAAAAAGACATTCAGAAATTTCTCATATAATTACTACGGAAAATGTTCCAAATGATCGATCAGTTGCTGATTGGATCATTACACAGCAAACTACAGATAATCAAGCTGCTATATTTCGTTTATGTGGTGATAAAAATCCATTGCATATTGATAGTAATTTTTCCAAAATTGCAGGTAAGCAAAAAACAATGTCACAATTTTTTTTGTTCAAAAAAAAGTGTGAATAATGATGCATTGTGTGAGTAAACATCAATGACCATTATCATGATGGAAAAAATGGAAAAAAGAGGAAAGAGACAAACAATACAGACACACACACACACACAGAAAATGCTTATGGTTATTTCTGGACAAATCGGTAATGATAATAAGTTTTTGTGTGTCCCAATTTTCATTCAGTCAAACACACACAATAAGCAGACCGGTTTTTGTTGTCGAACGTTGTTCTGAATTCCGATGGAACACTTTGTATTTTGTGATGCTTTCTACAACAACATCATTCTCTTCATCCCAAAAAAAATCTAACCAATTGTTATCTTTGAAAACGAAAAAGTCGAAAATAACTTAACCATGTTTGCATAATTTTCTTTCTTTTTTTAACAAAAAAAAAGGTTTCAATCAACCAATCCTACACGGATTGTGTGCACTTGGATTTGCTTGCCGTCATATATTGGCTGTTTATGCTGATTATGATTGTCGTTATTTTGATTCGATTAAAGTTCGTTTTACCGGTACAATACGTCCTGGACAAACAATTGAAACTCGTACTTGGAAATCATCATCATTTGATCAGGAAAATCTTGTACGAATACATTTTGAATGTTTTGTTCGTGAAACTGGTTCGAAAATTATTTCCTCATCGTTTGTTGATCTGAAAACACCGTTACCATCACCAAAAATGGCAATTTCTTCAGCCAATATTAAGATTGCCCCTGGAAACAAGAATCATGAATCATCATCATCTGATCATTTCATCTGTAAAGTGGATAGAATTTTTGATGAAAAAATTCGTCCAAGAATTGCTAAACATTCTGAACTTATACCATTAATCAATACTGTTTGTCAATTCAATATTACCAAGCAAGGCAAATTGGCTAGTGTTTGGAGTAAGTTTTCCCTTTTTTGAATCAATCAATCTAATTCGCGCTTCATTCTAGTATTGGATATGAAAAATGGAAACGGTGAAGTTTATTATGGAGCAAGATCGAATTTGATGGCTGAATGTACATTAACCGTTGAAGATGATGCATTAGTTGAAATATTTGAAGGACGAGATGAACCAATGCTAGCTTTTATTGGTGGCCGATTGCAGGTTAGTGGTAATATAACGGCTGCACAAAAATTGCAACAATTATGGTCCGAAGATGAACCGATTACACCGATTGACGACAACGAACATCAGCAACAAAAACAACAAAACAAAAACACTGACGACGAAGATGATGAATTGTTACGTTCAATACCGACAACTGGATTGAAAAGCGATATAATGTTCACCATAATTCGAAATCGAATGCATGAGGAACCAGAAATTATGAAACGATTAACGGCTAGTTATCAATTTAATATCCTATTGAATGGTGAACCAAAAACAATTTGGTCAGCTGAAAATAAAACCAATCCCGGTGGTTGTGTTTATAACAAACCATTCATGAATGGTAAACCTGATTGTATGCTTACAGCTGAAGATGATGATCTGATTAAACTAATGTTTGGTAAATTAAATCCACAAAGAGTAAGTGTTGAATATTGATCATCGATATCGAGATGATGATAAATGATTTAATTCAATTGATATTCAGGCATTCATGATGGGCAAATTAAAAGTAAAGGGCAATATATTATTATTACAACGATTGTATTCACTTTGGTTGGAATTACAAAAAATGGGTAAAACACCAGAGCTTCCTTTTATAGTAGACCTGATGTCAAAAACCGTAAGATTACATTGATTTAATATAAACCACTTGAATCATTCATTCATTTTCCACCAATTAGGACCTTAAACCTGGAATACGAAGCGAAATGATGATTGTTGAATTGATTCAACGTTTAATACGATTACCATATTTATGCAAAGAAATTCGAACATTGATTGGATTTGAAATCTTCAAAGATGGCGAAATAGTAGCCGAATATCAATTGGATTTTGGTAAAAATGATCGTACCGGTGTATTTGATCGTGGTCTACCCGAAATCAAACCATTCACCATAATGACAGCGACCGATGATGATTTTGTACGATTAACTTATCATCGTTTCACATTGGAACAAGCAATTGAATCTGGTCGGATAAAAATTCGAGGTGATCATTCGATTATACCGAAAATATCGATTATATTCAAAACACCAACATCACGAGTAAAGCTTTAATTAGGATATTATTTGAAAAAATCGCAACAAGTTTTGTTTGTTTGTTTTTTTATAATCGGTTTTATTTATAAAATAATTATTCCCAGATATTAACAATATTTTTATAATAAAAAAATGGAAATTTGATTGATTTGAAATTATTTTGTTTTTCGAGCACTTAATTTTTCATATTTATTTTTGCTACCATTCCAAAGAAGATATGGAAGCAAAACGGTTGCCATCGATATTACTAAAAATGCTGCCCAATCATACTAAAAAAAATTAAATTAGCAAAGACAAAGGTTATTGAATAAAATAACACTTACATAATGTGGTGAAAAACGTTTATCAAATTCCTTGAGCGAAACAATATAACCTTCACCTGGTTCACTTGTATAACCATATTGTAATTCACTACTACCTTCAGTTGAATAAATTAATTCACCGGCAGTAAAATTAAAACGACCCCAGATACCTTCTTTTGGTCGTACAATAACCGTATGTGTTGTATTTGTTTGCCTAAATTAGGATTATAATTGGGATCATTTAGCTCAATTAAAAGATTTCCTAGAAAATAAACTTACGGTGCAATTCGTGGTATTTGAAATTTCAATGAACCACCAACAATATCAAAATGAGCCAATGAAAAGGTATTATCGGAAAGTTGAACATTTATTGCTGAGCTGCAATGAATGAATGAAATTATTACTGGCCATTGATTTTCAATTTTTAGTTTCAACAAACCTTGAACCAACATTGAAAATATTGTAATTGATCATAATGTCTTTATTTTCGACCAGATATTTATTAAGCACTTGTTTTTCGGCCAATAATCTGGCTCTATCTGGATTTTGATCATCAGCCTGACTGACCATTAATGTCCAACTGATCAGAATGAACAATATGATGAAAGGAATGTTTTTCGATGTATACATGATTATAAATTTATTGGATATGAATTTGAGAAAACACAATTTAAATGAATCAAGGTTTAATTTTCTTTTGCTGGTTTTTTGAAGCAAGAAGAAATTTGGCGATATTCGAAGAATACGTGGAAAGAAAAAATATCTTTTATTTCAAAAAAATAAGCACGCGAGCCGCTGCAGCCACAATATCTTTTTATTATTATTTTTAGCATGACGTATACATTTCCCGTTCATATACAATGTTCCTGCTATTTATTTTGATTTTAATTGTCATCGATACGATTCTGATACTCGATTAATTTGATTTTCAATTAGAAATCATTTCCAAATCGTTTTAATTTTCTTGCGGAAGAATTTGATTCATTAACAAATCGATATTAAACAAAGATAATTTGAATTGATTCTAATTTCCGGCTAATTTGATCGAAATAAATTGGAAAATAAAATTATTTATTGATCATTAATCAATTATTTATCGATATCGATCGATTAAGAAAAAACTTGTCGAATTTGAATCATTCGAATCAAGTTTATCAAAACGATTTAAAATGATTAAAATTTAAAAAATCTATTTTAAAAATTAACTTGAATCCATTCATATAGTACGGATAGGGCAAAAGTCCAATTTATGTTCACAATATAAAAGACAAGCCAGTCAGCCACACACACACTTGAACACAAGTTAAGGGAAGCTAACGTAGGCCTGTCTTCCGTGCTGTACACGCTGTCCTGTTTAGTGCTTGTGCTGTGCGCTTTATTGCAATTCTTCTCCAAAAATCAACTCTGTTCTTATTTGCCCACATTGAATCTTGTCCATTTAACGTATCATCATCGTTGTCGTCGTCGTCAATCGCTAAAATCGAAACGAAAACGCTCATTTGATTCATCATCTTTTTTTGTTTTTTCTTAGGTTTTTTTCAATTTTTTATTTTTTTTGTCGAATTTATTTGCCATTAACAACAAACAATCAAAATGGTAAGAAAATCAATGATAATTTTGAATGATTTAAAATTGCTCACAAACATCAATAATTTTCTAGGTCAATTTTACCGTCGATGAAATCCGTGTTCTGATGAACAAAAAGCGGAATATTCGTAACATGTCTGTTATTGCTCATGTCGATCATGGTAAATCGACATTGACCGATTCATTGGTTTCGAAAGCCGGTATTATTGCTGCAGCTAAAGCTGGTGAAATGCGTTTCACCGATACCCGTAAAGATGAACAAGAACGTTGTATTACAATCAAATCGACTGCTATTTCGATGTATTTCGAAATGCGTGAACAAGATATGATTTTTATCACTAGTGCCGATCAAAAAGAAGCCGATGAAAAAGGTTTCTTAATCAATTTGATCGATAGTCCTGGTCACGTTGATTTTTCATCCGAAGTAACGGCTGCATTACGTGTTACCGATGGTGCATTGGTTGTTGTCGATTGTGTTTCAGGTGTTTGTGTACAAACCGAAACTGTATTACGTCAAGCTATTGCTGAACGTATCAAGCCGGTATTGTTTATGAACAAAATGGATTTGGCTATGCTTACATTGCAATTGGAGCAAGAAGATTTGTATCAAAAATTTACCCGAATTGTTGAAAATGTTAACGTTATTATTTCTACGTATGCTGATGAAAATGGACCAATGGGGGATATACGTGTTGATCCTTCCAAAGGTTCAGTTGGTTTTGGTTCTGGTTTACATGGTTGGGCTTTTTCATTGAAACAATTTGCTGAATTGTATTCGGAAAAATTTAAAATCGATGTTGATAAACTAATGAATCGGCTATGGGGTGAAAATTTCTACAATCCTGCAGCAAAAAAATGGTCAAAACGTTTTGATGATGGTTATAAACGTGCTTTCTGTATGTTTGTTTTGGATCCAATTTTCAAAGTGTTCGATGCCATTATGAATTTTAAAAAAGAAGAAACATCTAAATTGCTGGAAAAATTGAACATCGTATTGAAAGGTGAAGATAAAGAAAAAGATGGCAAAAATTTGTTGAAAGTTGTTATGCGAACCTGGTTGCCGGCTGGTGATTCATTATTGCAAATGATTGCCATTCATTTACCATCACCAATCACTGCACAAAAATATCGTATGGAATTATTGTATGAAGGACCACATGATGATGAAGCTGCTTTGGCTGTTAAAACCTGTAATCCAGATGGTCCATTGATGATGTATATTTCAAAAATGGTACCCACTTCTGATAAAGGTCGTTTCTATGCTTTTGGTCGTGTTTTTTCGGGTATTGTTGCTTCTGGACAAAAAGTTCGTATTATGGGACCAAATTATGTTCATGGTAAAAAAGAAGATTTAGTTGAAAAAGCTATTCAACGGTAAGTGTGTGTTGAAGTTTGTTTATAAGAATTTAATTTGATGGTTCTCTTTTCTCTCGAACAGAACTGTATTGATGATGGGTCGTTATGTTGAATCGATTGAAAATGTACCTTGTGGTAACATTTGTGGTTTGGTTGGTGTTGATCAATTTTTGGTCAAAACCGGTACTATTTCAACATTCAAAGATGCACACAATATGAAAACCATGAAATTTTCTGTATCACCTGTTGTACGTGTTGCTGTTGAGCCAAAAAATCCTGCCGATCTACCAAAATTGGTGGAAGGTTTGAAACGTTTAGCCAAATCCGATCCCATGGTTCAATGTATTATTGAAGAATCGGGTGAACATATTGTTGCTGGTGCTGGTGAACTTCATCTGGAAATTTGTTTGAAAGATTTGGAAGAAGATCATGCTCAAATTCCAATCAAAACATCGGATCCAGTTGTATCGTATCGTGAAACTGTTTCGGAAGAATCTGAAATAATGTGCTTATCAAAATCACCAAACAAACATAACCGTTTGTTTATGAAAGCATGTCCACTTCAAGATGGTATTGCTGAAGATATTGATAAAGGTGACATTAACCCACGTGATGATTTTAAAATTCGTGCACGATTTTTGGCCGATAAATATGGCTGGGATGCAACCGATGCCCGTAAAATCTGGGCTTTTGGACCCGAAGGTACTGGACCAAATCTTTTGGTCGATGTGACCAAAGGTGTGCAATATTTGAATGAAATCAAAGACAGTGTTGTTGCTGGATTTCAATGGGCCACCAAAGAGGTAAAAACGATGATCTTTTCTCATCGATTTTAAAACTAATTTTGATCATATTCTTTTCAAATACAGAGTGTACTTTGTGAAGAAAATATGCGTGGTGTTCGTTTCAATATTCATGATGTAACATTGCATGCTGACGCTATTCATCGTGGTGGTGGTCAAATCATTCCAACAGCACGTCGTTGTCTTTATGCATGCCTTTTGACTGCTCAACCACGTCTTTTGGAACCAGTGTATTTGGTTGAAATTCAATGTCCAGAACAGGCTGTTGGTGGTATTTATGGTGTGTTGAATAGACGTCGTGGTCATGTATTTGAAGAATCACAAGTTGTCGGTACACCCATGTTTACTGTTAAAGCTTATTTACCGGTAAATGAATCATTTGGTTTTACTGCCGATTTACGTTCGAACACTGGTGGCCAAGCATTTCCACAATGTGTATTTGATCATTGGCAAATTTTACCTGGCGATCCATTGGATGGTAAATCACGTCCATATCAGGTTGTAATGGAAACCCGTAAACGTAAAGGTCTTAAAGATTCATTGCCTGAATTGGATAATTATTTCGATAAACTTTAAGATCTAGTGGAAAAAATGTCAAATTTCAAGATTAATTATCAATTTTTCTTCTTTTTTTTATTGCTACTTTTTTTCTATCATCATTTTGAAATTTGTTTTTAATTTCAAAAAATTAAGATTCGATTTGTCGATTAATTTATTAATTGATTAATTTTTTCTGCTTCAACAACATCGATGCAGCAATATTGGTACAATCGAATCTGATTCGAAAAACAAAACAGAAAACACTAAACACAAATACAAAGCTCCGTCAAAAATAAAATTATAATAAAAAAACAGAACTTATTTTATTTTTTGCTAATAAATTTGAAATCTAATAAAATTAAATTTGGTTTTGTTTTGTTTTTAATTTTAGTTCTTTAGTGGAATTATTGAAAAATGGATTGATTGGATTGTTCACAATTGAATATTATTAGTATTTTAATTTTTTTTACATAAATACAAATATTATGCGACGATTTTCACGTTCGGTGTCAAATCTAGGTAATTTAAAACTTCGTCGCCGATTACGAATGTCATTTCGGTCACCAAAAAAAGATGGCCGTCGTCAAGGTAATCAAAAAAAACATAATCATGGTGTTGGATCGAATGTTGATCAAATGATGGATAATTTGTATTCAGCTGTTACAAATTTAACGCATAAAATTCCACGGCCAATGAAAAATGTTTTTAATCGTATGATGGCTAATAAAAATGATCCACAACCACATCAAACACGAACAAATTTAAGTAGAAAAACAACAATGCCAGTGCCATTATCAAAAATACCATCACCAACAAAAAAATCACCACCATTAAGCGCCATTTCATCCGCGATATCAAACATACCAACATCAACAACAGGAGCATCGACAAATCGCAAAAATGTTCAACAACAACAGATCAATTCCATATCACAGAAAAATATTCGACTAAATTATGATCGCTCATCAACGATGCCCATGATTGAAACAAAAAATATGGCCTATGTATTGCCAATTGGTTCGCTAACAAGTATTTATGAAAAACTATATGATTGTTATTGTTTCTTCGTTCATTGTTCTCAACATGATCGTGTTTGCATAATGCGATCATCATCATCGCCATTCATATGGTTACCATGTGTTGTTGCACAATCCATACAGAAACATTCCTGGGTCAAATCAGCCAAAGAAAATGCCGCATGGATATTTGCCAATGAATCAAACAACCGATATGAATATTTTAAACGTAATCCATTCTATACGGATATTCGTTTGATTGAAATTTTACGGCTACAACTACCACAAACAAATCGTTTTATAACAAGATTAGCATTTTATGTTCATATCGATCCGGAACAAACATCGGATAGATTTTCTTGTTGTCAAGCAACTGATCGTTTAGATTGGTTAGATTTGAATATTGTACGTGATGGCTGTGTGGAAAATCTTTGGGGTCCAGAATTGGTAAAATATTGTCCAGCCCTCAATATGACACCACAAATGATGCCGCAAAAAATCGAAGAATTTAGTTCAAGTCAGGTATTTCATTTTGTTTCGAAAGATGGTACGCCGAAAAACATTGAAGAGTCGTGGCTAAAATCGGTAAAGATTACCGAGAATGATGTTGAACGTTTATATTATGAATTTTTGGAACATTGTTATCCAAGTTATTATATGACATCGGATTCGTTTCGTCAATGTTTATTTCGGCTCGGTCTTGATCTACCCGATCTAAATATGGATCGTTTATTTATCGCATTTAATTATATGAAAAATGGCTTTCTTAGTTTTCATGAATTGCTATTGGGTTTGGTTGCATTGGAACAAGATACACCACATGATGAAGTTCGAATAAAATTTGTATTTCGTTATTATGATACCAAACAATATGGTGTATTGTATGAAGAAGATATGAAACGTATGTTACGTGATCTATTTATCATAACATTTGGTGAAAAAAAATTACGTAGCGATCATTTGGAACAAAAAACACGTGAAGCGATGGAGTTGTTTAAAGCACAATCAATTGGTAGAGGTACACGTACAAGGCAAGCAATTACATGGCGAAAATTTCTCACCGTTATCGCAACACATCAATTTCGTGGAACATCATTATTATGTCGATCGAAAAAATCAATTTTCGATCATATTACTAAACGTATCACAACACAATCAGCAAATCAATCATCCAAACAAGAACCAGCATTATTACGTTTAGTTGTACAACGTAAATTTCAAAGTGAAGTATGTCCATCATGTCGTTCAAAACAATATCGTTTATCACCATTACGTTTGCTAATCAATCAAGATGGTTATTATGATCGTTGTGAAATAATACGGCCAGATATTAATAAAATGAGATTAGAAACATCACAACGACAAACAGTTTGGGCCAATATACAACGTAATCATCTTATCAAACCAGAATATCCGGCAAATTTTTTCATACGGAAAATACGTGAATTTAATCAAACTAAAAAATATAATACACTTGGTTTCATGACAAATGAACGTGAACGTTTATATCAAATGTTTCAAATAATGGCCGAAGAATTGGAACCAATGCTGCAAAAAGAACAACGTATAAAACAATTAGCATCACCATGTTATATAATCGGTGATATACATGGCAATCTTGAAGATCTTATGTCATTAGAATTGACAATTTGGAAACAATTTCCAGCATCAGGTGTACATTATCTATTTTTAGGTGATTATGTTGATCGTGGACGTTGGAGCATTGAATGTGCGCTATATTTATTATCAATGAAAGTTTTAATGCCAAAAATGATAACATTATTGCGCGGTAATCATGAAATTCGTGAAATCCAAAACAAATATACATATCGACGTGAATTATGGCAAAAATATGATCAAGTTTATGGACAAAGATTTTGGGATCTAACTAATCGTCTATTTGATCGATTACCACTAAGTGCAACGATTGATGATACAATTTTCTGTTGCCATGGTGGTATACCACATCAAATAACACGATTGAATGAATTGGAAAAACGAATACCACCAGTGGTAATGAGTCCAGAATCCGATTGTTCAATTGCATGGGAAATAATGTGGTCTGATCCAATAAATCAAGATCATTTTATGACCATCCAAAATCTTTATCAAATTCGTAATGAAAATCTTCGACAAGGATATCTACCCAATACAAAACGTGGTACAGCATTCTATTTCAATGAACGTGCATTGGATAATTTTTTTGCCGAAAATCGTCTAACACATATGATTCGTGCACATGAAGTACCAAAACTTGGTTTTATGATACACTTCGGTCAAAAATGTGTGACAGTTTTTTCCTGTTCACATTATTGTGGTAATGATAATGAATGTTGTGTGCTGTTTGCTCATCAAGAAAAACTTCGTGTCATTCGTATCGATACGACAGCCAATCAACCGGCTACCGATCAATTTCAACAGCAATCAATTATCCGTTGAAACAACAACAAATCTGATAAATAATATTTGATGAAATGAATGTTGGTGATGATGATGGTCATCTTTCTTTTCTTTTTTTTAATTTGTAAAATAAAATGAAAAAAATAAACAGTGTGTGTATGTGTTTCCAATAAAGCTCATTTAGTGATTCAATAAATTCAATGTATAGGTTTCCAATAGTTCGCGAACTACAAATAATGGTGGATAATGATTAGATTGAATTCAATTTTGGATTTCAGAATGTTTACCTGTGTGAAGATTTTGTTCAACAGCAATCGAATAAGCTGTATCCAGATTACTATTCTCAATGGTTATATCGGCATTATGATTTAACAATTCTTGTACACAATTTTTATGATCACCATAAATAGCATACATTAATGCTGTGTTACCATCCTGATGTGTTCAGACAAAACAAAAATAGATTGATATTAGTAACATTATCATCATTGATTCATACATACTTCATCTGTTTGATCCAAATCGATGCCCAATGAAATCAGATATTTAATAACAGCCAAATGTCCATTTGATGCTGCTAACATTAAAGCATTTTCACCGGTTGGTCCACGAAAATGTATATTAGCTCCATGTTGTTGTAAAGTTTGTATCGATGCTAATTGACCATAAGAAGCAGCCCATAATAATGGTGTTAATCCTTTTTCATCGATTTTATTGACAATTTTATCATCTAAATGACATAGAAATAATTCACCTAATGCAGCTAATTGATGTACGCTACGATAAACTGGTTCATTTGATGTTTGTGTTTGTATATTACCCCGTTGTAAATTGGTCAATACAGTTGATGGCTAAGAATTTTCAATTAAATCAATTAGATCATATCTATCTATGACAATCGATGACACTTACCCTGTAAGGCGAAAATGCACTTCGTCGACTAGCCAGACTGAATGGACTAATTTGTTCAAAGATGTTTGAATTTAAAATCGTTGCTTGGCTTTTACTATTATTGTTGTTGTTATTAGATGATCCAGTTATAAAAGCCGTAATCATCATCATTTACAGATTTTTTTTTGACATTGATTCATTTTCATTATTCCATAATTATGAATGGAAAAACACAAAAAATCTATTGACTCTCAACAAAAAACACAAATCTATTTTCATAATCACTGTATAAATAGTCGCAAATATTCTTTGAAATTTTTTAATTTTTTTTATTAAATAACAATTTAAAATGTACAAAAAAATTGACTACAATCGATTGAAGGATTCCATAGACAGAATATTTGAGGAAAAATCTAATCATCTAATACCAATACATTGGATATGGTATACGTTGTTCTTCAATGCCATGATCTTCCATAATTTCCATTTCGAATGTTTTCAATGTCGGTTTAAAAGTTGCTCGAATTACTTCATCTGGTGCTGTATCTTTTGGTTGATCTTTATATGCTTCAGGTACGGTAAAATCACGTGTTTCATATGCACGACGTGGAATCGGTATAATACGACCAGTACGTTTACTAACACGAACCTGATTACCTTCTTCATCGTAACGCCATTCAATCGATGTAGGTTGATTATCTTCTGGATCGACTAATGATACATCACGTGGTACCAATAATGGATCTTCAGTTGCATTTAACATTCCGGCAAATGAACGATCACGTTGTGCCATACGATATTTAAGATTAAGGCCACGAACGCAAACCCAATTTCGTTGTTCAACAACATAGTTTACTGTTCCTTGTTTACCACGATCTTTTCCACGCATTATCTGTACAATATCACCAACAAATATTGGAAATTGTCTCATTGGTTCGATAAAAATTTTCGGATGTTTAATATTCGGTGCATTTTGATCTTGAAAATCTGTTGTCCATGGACGATGTATATCATAATAGGCATTTTTTCGATAACGAACTGTTTTTGGCTGATAATTTGGTAATGGTGGTGTTTTCCATTCAATAAATTCAGTTTGATTTCGTATAAATCGTTCCGGATAATTTGAAAAATGATATGGACGTGGTAAACGTGCCATTAATGTTGAAAATATTTTCATTTTTTTCAATTTTTGTTACCAACCACCATCAAAACAAAACAAAATCGAACGAAAAAACACATGTATAAACTGTTTTGAGCTATCAACGCTTGGTGGCGTCAGTCTTGATGCTTGAATTTTGGCCAATTTTCAAAATATTCGAATATTCTTGCGCTTGATTAAACGAAACGAAACCAAATGAATGGAGAGAAATAACAAATATTTATTTTTTAATTAAAAATAAAAAGTATTGTTTCATATTCATTCATCCAGGACATTAATAAATATAATAATAATAAATTCTTTCATTTTGCTTTTCAACAACAATAATCACAACAAGAATGAAGATTTCAATTTCAATTTCGTCCAAATCAATAAAGAATATTAATAATAATTTGTTTTTGTTTTTGCTTGATTAATCTTTGTTTTATTTTGATATCGTGCAATCTAATAGTGTGTACTAAATAGTGTTTTTGGTAATAATTTTATTTGTTATACCATTTGAATCTTTCTTCTAGTCGACCGATTACCAAGATGTTTGGAATTTTCTTTTTTATTATTGTGTAATTGGAGGTGCAACTGTTGTCGATGTTAGATTCATCGCTGCTTTAGCTGCTTCTTCACGTTTTTCGGCTGCATTTGCTGCTGCAGTTGATCGACTGAAATCGGCCACAATCAAAAAGTATGATGCAACTGCAGCGATTGTCTATTGGTGGTGGATTGTGGATGAAATTATTATCATTTTATGAATGAATTTCATAAAAGAAACTTACATTTGAAATACTAGCATTAGTTATGACAAACAAATCCAAACAGGAGAATCCGATAGTAGGACCACGAACACGATGCAAAAATGTTGACATCTTTAAAACAAGAATGAAAAGAATTGTCATAAACTGATCAAAAGATCATTATAAACTTACATTAACTTCCAAATCGATTGGTAATTGCAGCAATGATAATGTATGTAATGCTGTATATGGACTATGAGCTTCAGCCGATACATCAGCAGCCGATAATGAAATAAATGCTAAAAATAGAATAGTATGGAGAAACACTGTCCATGTAACAATAGCCAATAGATCATCGAATTCTGCAAAAAACAAATTATATAATGCATAACAATTGCATGGAATATGACATAAATAATTGAAAAATATAAATGATTGCCAAAAACTATTCGATTCATCAACCAATTCACAAATTTCATTATGTTCATAATACAATGTTGATAGTGCATTATTTTTACTGCCCAATGGTCCTGGATCAGATTCAGCCAATGCTTCAATATCTTTACAAACTTGCTTAAAACGATTCGATAGAATCAAACAAACCAGATTGAAATATGTCATTGTAAACATATTGATGCCGGTCATAAAGAATATCCAAACAGCCTGGATTCCAATCCACGGGATGAACATTTTAAATGTAGAATCATCCATATTTTCATATGCTGTAAGCAAATATAACATTGCAACCATACCGGTTGCCACTAATACAATTAAATTGTTCATTATAATTGTTATCTGTGTACGACGTTCATGATTATTTGTATCATATTTTGCCGTACGTATGGAATTGGTTTGCATCTGTTTTACCGATATGAACGGTACCAACCATGCTAACTAAAGAAATTTGAAAATATCGGAAATTTGAATAAAGTTACGTTGTTGATTGGTACAAACCTCGCTTTCATTACGCAAGAATATAGTCGCTATGATTGCTGTTTGCAGCGAATAGTAGAATGTAGGCATCAGGTAATACATTCGATAATCATTCCAGAATCCAGTTAAATCGCCCATCATTAGCTGAATTTCACGATCACCAATAAACATTAGTACAAAACTACGAATAGCAAAAAACCATAACAGTAGGCAAACAAATTGACAATAGAAACGTTTCAAATTTGTTGATGTTTTATCCTGCTTGACCGGGCCATAACGTTGACCAAAATCTAAACCTGATGATATTAGTCTGTGGAAGAAAAAATTTCATGGATAAAGTGGATTACATGGAATTTTTCCAAGAAAAGAATTTACCCAAATATTTTGAAATAAGATTCATATGCTAATTTCGGAATGGTAAATGCATCACGATTAAGCATTTGTGGACTAAATCCTTTCATTTGATCCATGTTTTCTGGAAATTTTCTGAAAATATTTTTAACAAGAAAGACAATCACAAAACGACCATCACCAACAAACGACTTGATGAAAACTGTCAACGAAGATTGTTTTCGATTGTTTTGTTTTGTTTGTCAAAGAATTCTTACAAACGAATAGTATTCAAGTTTGTTTTTAGTTGTTGTTGACAACCTGGGATACCTTGGTTTCCTGAATTTTTTAAAGTTTAAATTTTTCAAATTCTAGAGAAATCCATTTTGGATTCTCTCTGAAAAAAATCGATCGATATTTTTCATCAAATGACTTTTCAAGCCAAAGAAAGAGGTTCTTCTTTTTCTGGCCTCAAAAATAATCGTTATCGTCGATCGAAATTGAAATGAAAAAATAATTCAGAATAAAATTTCCGAGTAAAAGTTGTTTGGTTAAATTCAAACAAATGAAAATACCATGGTGATGATAATCACCAAAAATCATCAAAAATGTTTATCATATAGTGACAAAAAAAAGCTTTATTTCATTTCGTATTTTTGTACATTTGGTGGTGGAAAAAGAAAAAAATTAAGATTTTATATTCAAGGATCCATGGATCAATGGATCGTATGGATGGAACAAAGTAGATAGAGAGAAAACAAGACAATCAGTATCATTACAAAAAAATGTTAAAGATGAGAAAGGGTTAAAAGAAATGTTTGGAAATTTACAGGTAAACAAAAAAATCCTAATGTGTACAAATGAAAAATGAATGTGACATGTATTTATGTGGTTGGTTTATTTACAATTCATTCAACACATAATCAAACAATCAATCACAGAATTACGGAATCTGTTTGAGAAAGCTTGATTTTCAATATATGTGTGTGAAATGTGTCCTTTGTCTGAGCAATTATCACAAAAAAAGTCAAAAAAATTAAGAAAATGACGACAACAAACAAAATCATAACAATTTGACAATGTTACACAAACAACAAAATTTATCTGGAAGAAGTGTGAGACAAAAAATACATTCAACATTGCTATGTTATTGGATAAGAGAAATCAATTTGTGTGGTGGACATGATTCTGTTCTATTGATAATGATCATAGAAAAGAGTGCCATATTTTGGTGATCTATATTATTAAAACAAGGCTATATTGTACATTGGTTGAAATCATATGATGAAGAAGACAATGATGATTATCAATTATTATCACAGGCATCGATGCTTGATTGTGTGTGACGATTTGGTTTGGTTTGAGAGAATTTGAATGAAGGGAAGAAAAAGTTTTTTTGTTTGACCAGAATTGAGCATTTCGATGTTTTAGTTGGGAAATGTTATTTTTTCAAATGGCTTTGCTGTTTCACAAGGCATTTCTATTGAAAAAAATGATTAGATTTGGAAATATATTTTTAAAAACAAATATGCACGAACCGATTGTTTAATTTGCCAATTTTTCATTGCAGTTTTATATTTTTCAAATTCATGACACCAATCCGAATAAATTTTACGAAATTCTGATTCATTTGGTGCCGAACATGTTTCTATTGATGTTAATTATATGAAAATTGATTAGTAAAAAAGGATTTTGAACAAAAAAAAATGATTCAAACTTACTTGCATCAACATTAATTGTATAGCTAAACAGGGTGTTCGATCCAAGACGACAATCATAACGACCGGATTCACGATCTGTAACACCCAATATAACTAGACCATTATCGGATGTATGAATATATTTATCACGTTTTGGATAAACTTCAAAACCACTTGATTTATCACTACGATAGTATAACCATTTTAATGGACCTTTCGTTTTGATAATCGATTCAATATCAGGGCTATGTATTTGACATGCAAGATGAATACTTTGTCCCCAATTTACTTTCATTAATTTATGTTCAATTGTATTATCACATATTCCAGCCGTTACATTCATTATATCTTGCATTAATCTAAATAAAAGAAAAATAAGAATTAGCAATCAAACAATCAAAGTAACAAATCATCATCATCATAATAGCAATAACAAATAGATGATGGGTGCCAAACCACCAACCAAGCACCCATACATAGAAGAAATCATAGGAAGCAAAAAAACTAATCTCGACATTTCATTCCTATCCAATCTATTTATTTGATTTGCCTGTCTTTCGTCTTTGGTGCACATTATTCACAATTTCTAACCACTTTTGTTTATATGAATTGTTTTTCCAAAAGTGATGCCAAATCAGGATCGATTACAATAGAATATCAGAATTCCCTCTGTATTCCATAAGGAGATAGCAATATTGCCAATAACTAATAACTAACTAACAAACTGAACGAAATGTGAAGCGAAACGAAACGAAAAACGATTCAATCATAATAATAATTGGAGCCATTTGTTATCGTTATTTCTTTTTTTGTTCAAGAAACGATGCCTATTTATTATTAGAAATCACAAGGAATCTATTGCATTTTATTAAAATGAATGATAGTGAAATAGAATAAAATGAATATATATTGGAAAGGCGTAACCAATATGAATAATGATGATGATAAGGTGAGGTTCTGTGAAAAAGATACTAACCCGATTGTATATGGTTTGCATTCATTTTGATCTGGATCCCATCCACAATATGGATCTTGGATACATCTTGTACAACTTTCATAATGATTTTTACACCAAAATAGATCGATTTGTTTGATACCAGAATCGGATGCAACATAAAGTGACTTATGACGTGATGATATTTCAATAGCTCTAATTGGTTCACCATTAGTTGCTTCAATTATATCGACTAAATTTGTATGAACCTGACCCGATTGATCATACCATTCGATAATTTTATAAACTAAACCAGTGTTGGTCGCAGCAAAATATACTGTATATTGAAGACCATCAACTTCCAAACGATCGATAACAATACGAGTGAAAATCAAGTCTCTTTTATAAAAAATTGGACGACCATTATCATGTTCAACAGCAGAATCCATTAATGGATGACCACGAATAAAATTCAGCACAGAATCCGGTAATACTTGTGTATCATTAACACATGTACCTGGACGTGGCTCAGGTACTTTACTTGATAAAACTGGCAGCCATGCTGATGATGATGTTGATTGTTCTTTAAATTTTCCAAGGAAAACTTCTTCAATTTTATTCAAACTAAATGTACAAATTGCTGAACCAATCAGGCCATTTGTTGTTGATGTACTGAATACAGCATAAAATTTTCGATCATCATTTGGATATTTATAAACGCTTTCTGTTTTTTGAAAAATAAAATGAGAAAAAAAGATTAGAAAAAGAAAAATGAGATGTGGTGATGATATTGATATTAATAGGGGGCATTTATCAGATGATAATCGATAGTGATGACATTCACCGATGAAAATCAAGATAAATATCCAAACAAATTAATTTCAATTCTCTTATAATAACACTTATCCAGTGACATTAAATTTTTCCTATTTTCTTTTTAAAAAATGTTTTGTTTGTCGCCTAAATACTATCTATCTGTATTTATCTTTTGAATGGCCATAATTTATTGATCCAGCAAAGAGAAACGAGAAAATTCCATTTCCAATAAATTATGGCCGTCTCCTTTCAATCGAATCGAAATCGAAATCGATTATTTTTTTTCTATTCTGCTAAAACTTAAAAAAAGCTTTGGTCAGGTAATATTCAGTGAGATATAAACGAATCTGATTTCGATATTACTTTCTTTTTTTGGACATCTTAATGGGGCAATACTGAAGGACCACAGGATCAATGTTAAGTTTTGTTTGCACCGAAAAAAACCCGATAACGATACTTACGAATTTCATTGAAATAGAATGGAAATTCACCAGGAATTGAACAATTTAAACGGGCTTTTAAAAATGATGCCCAATTTTTATTGAGTATATTTTTACCACCAGTATCTCGCTAAAGAAGAAAAAATAAAGATTTTGATCGAAAAAGTTGTTAATAAAGAATAAAACATACCTTACAAACACGAGCAACTCTTGAATAAATAGCTTTACCACAATTAATATATTCAACGGCACTTTCACGAAAGAAAAAATAAACATAATCACCAATATCGAATGATCCAACAAAATTTGGTTCTAATGCAAAAAGAGATGTTAATAATGATATTGATGGAGATAAACTGTGAAAAAACTTACTGTCCAACCATTTGGAATCATATTTAATGGTACGTTTAAATGGATAAATTCTTTGCATTGTTGTTGAATTATAAAGATCAGTACGAAATATAACAGTATCAGCTTTGGTGAATTCAGCAACTGAACCACTATATAAACCGGGTAAATTACCAGGATTTCCATTTTCTATGAAAATCATCAATAATCATCATCAAACATTTTCAAAAATGAATAAACTATACTTACCAACCCAAATAGCGGTGGAATTATCTTCTGGGTCGAATGGACATTTTGCAATACCGCTACCGATACCAGGTAATGGTTCATTTGATATGGTTAGATTTGACTGTGGTAGAGATTCCGGGATTGATAAAAAAAACAACAAGAATTTGATTGAAAATTGAAAAAATATTGAAATTTTGAAAAAAACAAAAATTTGAAAAAATCGATCAAATGGGTCGGTTGGGAATATTTTTTTGCAAAGAAAATTGATTTGTCAACGAAATAACGAAATGGATTTTTTTTCGTTCGTTCCAAATCGTTTATCGTAAATATTGAAATTTCTTCAACATTTTTCAGACTTGCAATGGAAATGAAAACAAACACAAAACAGAAACTGAAATAAGAGAAAAACTTACATTAATGATCCAATCTTTAGGATTATGTGCATTTGTACCGCATACATAGAAACGATCATGATTCGTTCCAATCGGCTGTATAACACGTATATGATTGCGACAATCATAAAGCTAACGAAATGGGAGAGAAAATAATGATGACAATAAATAAACACAGAAAATAACAATTTTGTAAATTTAAAGCAAAAAAAATGATGCGGCTCAAAATCATCGATAATGGGGATGGGAATGACGATTGATTTCAAAATTCAAGTTGTTTTCAAGAATAATAATTTTTATTAATTTCAAGATTCTGTATTTGGTGTTTCACTTGGTTCAAAAAATATCCATCCAGTTTGTCGTTCATATTGAATCCAAAGTGAATTGAAAAAAACCAATTGAGTGAGAGAGAGAGAAAAATATTGAAAAAAAGTGTACTATTCTTACACAATGTGGATGCATGAAAGAAAATCGAAATTGTCAAAAATCAATATCATCGAAAACAATTTCGAAAAAAAGGAAACCAAAATCAAAATGAACAAAAAAAACAGCAGCAGCGTTATTGTCCCCGAAAACAAAACGAAAACGACAGAGCAAAAACCAAAAATCACAAAGATCAGAATTTTTGGCAAAAAAAGCAAAGCTAGAATTTCAAACAAAAAAATAAGTAGAAAAAACCGATCCGATTTTTTTTCCTTATTGAAAAAGGACAATCGAAAACAACTTTTGTGTGTGTTATCTTGACGAAAAAATTTTCCTGAGTTCATTCAGTTCAATGATTGTGCCTTGATCTACTTGGTCGAAGGGCAAAGATTCAATGATGATGATTCTCTGTGACTGGAATTTCTTTAAACGTCTAGCAATAGATAAAACGTGTGTCTCGATTTTCTCGATTAATCGGCACCGATCAAACAGACAAAAACGGATGTTCATTGAATCTATAAATTCCCTTGAATGGAATAGGGACTTAATTTTATTTTTGTTCCTTTAACACTGTCGTTGGTTGTTTATTTATCAAATTGTCAGTGTTTGTACATTTCGCTAAAATACAAATATAAATGAACTTTCGAAAGCAAAAACAGACTAAAGAAAACAAAAAAAGGAGCAATCATCATCATCATGAAAGACAATTGGCGCCCAAACAAACACACACATTCGAATCGATTTTGACGCCTTTTATTTTGTTTTATTTTGGTTTGGTTTGGGTTATATAACGATTTTCCTTAGTCGTTCGTCGACAATTTTTCTTCGGGCCAATTCAAGTGTAATGATGATGCTGATGATGATAAATGAATGAATTGTATTGAATTGAATGGTGTTTGATGCCAAGCACACAAACAAAACAAAATCAACAAATCAAACACAGTGGAAGAAAATTGATTGAAAATTAAGAAAAAAAAATTTCTTTCGAATTGATTTTCCGGATGATGAAAAGAAATTCTGAAATGAATTTTTTCTTAAACAAAAAATTCACGAGGTCTATGTATTCAAATGTAAATCATATCAGACAGACTGATTGAATGTCTTGGGCAAATATCACCAACATTATAGAAGTTTTTTTTGTTCATTTTCCGGTTTTCAATATGGTTTTTTCTCAACCATTACCACTGTGGGAATGTGGTTAGAGGCCATATATGAATTTGGAAGAAAAAACTCTATTCGAAAAATGTTGATTTGATGATGATGATGTTAAAATGATGAACATCATCATCATTAAAAGAAATTAACCCAAAATGATGATGTCTCAATTTAGATGATGATGATTACAGTCGAATGATTTTAATTGAAAATCATCAGCGATGAATGAATAAATTTATGTAAGGATGATGATAATTTGAGCAAAAAGAAAGAAACATTACATTTGGACACACTTACCTCAGATTTGCCTTTGGCTATACAGCTTGATATGCTTTGTGGATTCAATTTTATCGAATCAAACTATATTTTGGGAGAAAAGAAAAAATTGTGAAAAATGAGAATTAGAATCGTCAGAATAATTGAAAAAAAGGAATTTAAACATTGGACGTCTGGCAAAGATTCTCACATTATCTATAGCTATCAATCAAGCGAACCGAAAAGAAAAGAAAAAACCAAATTCTCCTATCTGGTGTTCTCAATGGATTAGATAGATTCACAAATCGAAAACAACCGAAATGATTATTTGTGAATGAGTGAACATCATTTATATCAGCAGTATCATGCATTCTGTTGGTTGTTAGATAATTTTTTTTGTTTCAAAAAGGAAAAATGGCTGTTTTAATTTGCAATTCTTTTCATTCATTTATGTGTGACATTCATGAATGTTGTTTTTTGATCAATACAATGTGTAAGGCCATCACGTCTGATATTTGATAAACCCAACCCTTTTTCTTCAGCCAACAAAAAGAAAAAGATTGTTAATTTACTGATAAGGTTAGCCAATTTAGTTGGTTAGTTATGAACAAATTTCAATAACAAATAAAATGAAAAGAAATAACTCTTTTGTCAGAAAAAACTTATTATGATCATCATCATCATGACAGGAAATTAAGCGCCCAAGTTTGTACGATCTTTTCTTTTTGCTACATAATTTTAGAAAAATCTTGACAGATCCAGAATATACAGAATATTCCATTTATTTTTAATCTGAGAATCGAAACAATGAATGAAATAGCAAGTAAGAAAAGATTTTTCATTTACATTTTTTTCCTTATTATGATTATCAAAAGAAAGATTCGGGTTGTTAATCACATCACTTTTTCCCATCATTCAGCCAGGCATCAGACGAAAAAACATTCATCCAGCCACGAATGATGATGATGAGTCGCATCATCACACCAAAAAAAAACCAACCCTTTCTTTTGAAATGTTAAGCATCAATTTTTTTCCTTCCTTTTCTTTCCCTTAAATTTTGCTTATCAGCCAATCATCAATGAAACCATACCAGACCGACCGAAACAAAGTGGGGAAAGAAAATCATAAATTAATCACAATGTAGACAAGGCAAAAAAAAGAAAAAATTTGATCATCATCATCATCATTATGATTGGATATTGAAAGAACAAACAAAACAAACGAGCCTAAATGATTCTCATCAACAATAACTAAATAACATTTTACCGGGAGAGTTAAATTGTTGTTGTGGATTCTTTTTTGTTTGGATGAATCCAAAAAGTTGAAAAATACACAGGGCAGATACGAGAAATTCCCTTGATTCGAATGTTTCTCGCAAATGAATGGAAAAGTCACAAAACAGTCCAAAGATTATATCAGACAACGTTAAACAACAACAACAAATTCATCTACGATAACCACCACCATCATCATCAACTAAACTATAGTGTAAAGGTCTAATTAACTTGTCCATATGAGTCGAAAGTTAGTGAGTGAGTGAGAGAGAAATTTTTCCCAGAAATAATAAGATAAAGAATCTTTGGTAAAAATTTGTTGGAAGAAACTCCTGACTGAACAAATAAGTCGACGCCAACAAAAACATGAAAATTGAATTAACCAAAAGGTTCCATAATAATGGTAATGGTCTCTTATCATTCATTTGTTTTTTGTTTATTATGCGATTAAAGTTTTATGAAGTTTTATTTTTTGTTGTTTGTCCTGTCATCATCATTATAATCAGAATTGTCTCTCTGTGTATATCTCCAATGATGATGATTAAGAAAAGAATCAATTTTCAATGTTTTTTGTTGTTGTTGAAAAATATTACAATAATTTTCTTGTTTTTGTTTGCTGAGATTATTATTTTTGGTTATTTTGGCTATAGAGAGAAATGAAATGAGATTTTTTTCTGCTTCCTTTCGGTAATCGATCCTTCGAGTTTGGCGATCGAATATGTCAACACAATAACAGAGAAATAGAAACAAACAAACAAACACAAGAAAATCGACAATAAGAATCGGCATTCAGAAAAAAAATTCTGTACAATTTATTTATTTATTCTGTGTCGTGACCGCCGTGTGTATTTTTATTATCAATCGGTCGATATAAACAAACAAACAAATCTAACGAAGACAGGAATTGAATAGAAAAAAATATCGACCGAAAGTATCGATCGATATTGAACACAGAGAAAAAAACTTGATTCTGTTCAAATGTTCAAGTTAGGATGATGAACAATATCATCCAGAGAGAATCATATCACCGGACATTAAACATTATTAATGGAAGATGAAAAAAAAGTAACCAAGAATTTTGCAAAGAGAGATAGACAGAATGAAGATATCCGTGATAATGTGACGACAACTATCGCAACTACAACAAATATCACCGACGAAAAAAGTTTTATCTATTTTCACAGATGTAATTTGAAAAAAAAGATTTTTGTTTCAGATTTGTTTTGTTTTTCTGCTAGATTTTTCCCATCATCATCAATATTTGAATGTCAAGTGTTGACAACAAGTTTTTTCCGAAAAACTTTTTTTTTGTTACAACAAAACTTTAATACAATTCTTGTTATGTGAATATCGCATTCATATTCTTATCGGTCCATATGGCTTGTGTGTGTGGGAGAAAGTAGAAAAAAGCTTTGTGATTAGTAGAAAACTATGTTTACACGGTGTTGGAATGCATTACTTTGCGAGAGAGAATAATCATTATGATTATTGTTATTATTATAAGCCAGTCATCAATTCAAATAATAAAAGAAGAACTTTAAGAAGTCAAAAAAAAGAAAAGAAGATTCATTGTATATAAGAATCACACAAAAGACGTGTTTCTTCAAGTTGATTTTTTGTTTTATGACTGGCAATAATCATAATCATAATCATTAAAGATATTAATTTTTCTTTATTATATTTCTGACTTGCCATGTCGACTTGCAATGCTATTGTATGATATGAATGTCTACCAATAGATTAGATTTCTATTCAAACATTTTTTTCCTGTTTTCCGGCTGCTGCTTCTTTGGTTCAGTGTAAGATTCGTTGCATGTTTAGACGGCGGTCATAAATCATACCCAGTGAACAAAATTATCTTTCGATCGCCCGATTCTAAGAATCTCTTTTTCGGTCCTTTCGTTTTCCAAAAATTCGATAAAAAACGAATTTTCGGAAAATAAAAATAAAATTGAAGCGAATAGAGAGAAAATTAGATTTTCATTTGAAATCAATGAGAAACAAAAAAGGGGTAACCGAAACAAATGAAAAACAACTTTGAAAACGGAAGTTTTATTGCCAAATGCAAAAATGATATGGATGTTTTTCCTTTGTCGAATTCAATGAATACTGAATTTCGATCGATTTTTTTTTGGCAATTCAAGAATGTAAAACAGAGAATGAAAATGAAAAAATCGAAAATGAGAATCTCTCTTTCTTTTATTATGAAAGCCATGACAATTAATTAAGCGTGCCTTTGTTTTTTTAATATTGAATGTTGTGTCAATTGTCACAAAAGAATCATCATCATAATAAATGAATTAAAAGTTAGTTGGAAAAAAATTTAAGCAGTCAAAATGATTCTATTTTTTACACAGAAAAGGCAGTTTGTTAAGTCAGTCAGTTTGCCAAAAGTTCAAATAAATTTGACTATAACCAAGTAATTTTTTTGGTTGATGACTATGACTATGAAAAAAAATCTGGTAACAATAATTTCTATATGATGAATAAAATAATCCATCATATTATAAGATGGATTAACCATATAACAACATGGCAACGACAACCAGCACCAGCATTAACAATTAATTCAGGGGATTATCATCACAATCATCATTTAAACGAATAATAATGATGATGATAATGATTCATTTCGATGAAAAACAGAAACAAATTGATCAGTAGCCTGGTTGACTGACTAAAATATGTTTCATTTTTTCTATTTGATTTAATCATTCATATCACATAATCATAATCATAATCATAATCGGACACATTTCTTTTTTTGACTAGAAAAAATTTGGTGGAATGCTTCAAAGCTTATCATCAACTTTGCTACAATATTTTAGCACGATTAGAAAAAATTATGGATTTTCACATTCATTTTTCTCATCATCATCATTTAGCATCATCATTTATGATGAATTAAATTGTCAGAAATTTTATTCGATCGATTCACGCCGAATGAATATCATCATCATCAATATGTTTATCGAATTCTCTTCGCATCATCAATGTAATGCACGAACCATCGGTTTAATCGGTCGAAATGCGATGAAAAAACCGTAAAAAATGATAGAGAAAAAAGAATAAACCCTTTTTGTGTGAAGAGAGACAATAGTTCACAGGCAAGAGCCGCATCCATTTTATTATGATGATTTCAAAAGAAAAGTTGAGAATTTTTTTTATTCATTTTATTTGAAGCAATTAAAAATTTTTGTTGCAAAGTTCAATTGAAGGTGAACTTTGATCCGTTTGATCATCCGCTAAGTCATCGGGTATTTTTAAAAAAGATGCTAAAAAATTCGTCTAGAAAGAGTGTGTGTAATATGAGAAGAGGCCATTAAAACACTGTGTTTTTATTATTATTATTATACACACTTGGACACTAAGCCCGTGTTTCTTTTTACTGTGTGATTTCGGTATGTAAAAAAATCCCCAAATAAAATGCAAAAGATGCTAATAAAAACAAGTGAAAAACATTTTCTTTTTTTATGACCCAAGATATTGGCTTTTTCGATGAAGCGATAATTTCTTCATAACAACAAAAAACAAAAAGAAACAAAAGAAAAGCGAAGAAGCAAAGAATAAGATCATTTTGAAAACCGAAACGAAATGAAAATTTGTTTGTTGTTTGGGGTTCGGTCGGAGAATATGCAATGATGACCAGAGAATGTAAAAAGAATAAATTTTTTTAATGATTTCAATTTGAAATCTTGAAAAAAAAATTATGAAAAATTATCACACACAACCGAACCGAATTGAACCGGCGACTTTTGCTTTCAAATCTGAATATCAATGGCGTCAGTCAGTTAGTAAAACCGATTAGAATTCGTTTCAAACAAACAACAA